AGAGCGTGTTTTTGGCGAGGTCCTTCCAGGGCCTGCAGCCTGGGGAAAGGGACCTCTGATGAGCCAGGGGGTGGCGACGAGGTCCTGGGATGCTCTCCCTAGCAGAGGGCACCAGGGGCCCTTCTGAGAGTGTGGGCGGGTGGGAAGCTGAGGCTTTCTTTGCTGAGTGGCCCCTGCAGGCCCCTCGAGGTCCCTGAAGCCCACAGGTGCACTCTGGGAAATCTGGGTGGGGACGGGGAAGGAAAGGAGGCTCGTTCCCTGCCCTGGTGCCTGCCTAGAGAGGATGGGAATGAGGGCGAAGCAGGCCTCCTGGCGTCTCAGTCCTCACCTTGGTTCAAGCCCCTTAGTTCTCTCGGCCTCCATTTCCTCAGCTGCAAAATGAGTCCATGCCCCATCCTGCCCCTCGGAGTCGCGTAAGAGCGAAGCAAAGGGTGCAGAGGTGGTGGGTCATCGAGATGCTGTGGCGAATTACTCACTGGGCTCCGGAAAGGTGGCCTCCAGCTTCCCCGTTAAGCCGCTCGAGCACGTGGGGTGCGCAGTGGTTCACCCGAACGGCAGCCACGTGGCCGGTGCTGGTGCGAGTGGTCTCTGGTCGTGCTCCCCGCCTCACTTCACGGGGCAGCAGGCACCTCTGCATAGAAGATTCCCGGGGCCAGGGGGGATGCTTCTGTTTTCTGACAACCTGTACGCGGGTACGCAGCTGGCCGGTGGGACGGAGACAGAGCTGCACAGAGCCCTCCGGCTCTCAGGGCCACAGTCCATCCTGGAGGGCGGCGTGTGCTACGCGCTCACCACTCTCCCGAGAGGCGGAGTCTCGTCTCCCACTCTTTGCAGAGGCTGGGCTGGCCACCACAGCACAGTGAAAGTGACCGCGAGTTCGAGACTGGGCTCCAGGCCCTCATGGCTGCCTCTGCCCCTTAAGTCGCTGCTCTGAGATGCTGCAAGGAGATCTGCTGGAGCCAAGTGGGGAGGAGAGGCCCGGGGAAGCCAACCCCTCCGGCCACAGTCAGGCCAACTGCTCCCGGGGCCAGGTGGTCTCAGCCTGACTGACGTTCCAGCCCAGTACAGCTGCCTGGAGGAGCCCGGAAGAAACCAGAGTAGGAGCCTCCTACCCGGCCCAAACCTTGAGAAGAAGTAGGTCTATAGTATCCGGTGGGGGGTGCTTTCCTCCCGAGCATAGGCCGGCGAAGCCCAGGGAAGGGAAGGAGCTCACCTGAGGCTTCCCAGCTGACCCCTGGAGCCCTCCCACCACAGAGTCTGGGACCGACTTAGCAGTGTGTGTGTGCATGTGCATATGCGTGTGTGTGCATGTGTGTGCATGTGTGTGAACATATGTGTGGCATGTACATTTGAGTGCATGTGTGTTGTGTGTGTGCACATGTGCATGTGTGCATGTGGAGGGTGTAAGGAAGGTGGGTCCCCACGCTTCTGCATGTGTTATAAGGGGCTGGCCGACATCCACATGGGCCCGTCCTCCCCACAATGTCTTGGGTCAATCCCATTCTACCGAGGGGGCACCGAGGCCAAGAGCTGTGGGCAATTGTGGACGGGCTCGTGCCAGGAGATAGCAACTTTGACCCACACCCAAGCTCTCTGATGCCCACTCAGGAGCCTCCCACTGGCTCCCAGGAAGGAGGGTAGCGGGGGACACACACCCACTCACTCGTGCTCTCTCTCGCTCTCTTCTTCCCACCCTCCATTCAACCAGCCTGCCCCTACTGGACCATATACTTTATTAAAAATAGATCGTTACAAACTCCTTGTCAGTCTGGGCTGGACCTGGGGGCCCTGAGGGAGCACAGGGAGGGACCTCATCCTGCCCTCGGGGTCCCAGCTCTGCACCCAAACCCAACACCATCCAGGGGCCAAGTGGGCTGGCTTGAGGGCCTCGGGGGCCAGCCGGCTGGGCGGAGGAAGGGGCCAGGCTTGCTGGGCGGGGGAGGCACACAGGGAGGGACGGCATCTCCTCGTCTTGCAGGTACAAATGGCAGAAGGTGAAGCTGGTGTCTCCATCTCTCTCCATTTAGAGATATTTACAAAGGAAGTCGTGAGCAACAGGCCACAGTCATGCACAAGAAACGCACCCCTCCCGCCCTCCCCCCATAGCCCCTGCCCACCCCGAGCCCCACGATGCCCACCCCCCAGCAGTCCAGCCGCCTTCCCCAAGGCTCTGCGAGCAAAGGGGGCGTGTCCTTGAAGGGTCAGTGGGGAAAGGGTGAGGGTCCGAGGCCCAGAGCCGCCTGAGAGTAGGCATGGGGGATCCGCTGGCAAGGCTGAGAGCATTCTGGGCCCTCCCCAGGCCCGGGCTCTGGA